GCCGTCGAGATCGCCGCCAGCCGCCGCCTCACGCGCCTACACGCGCCACCGGAGGATGACTGCTGCTGAGACTCACACGCGCGTGTGAGAGCGCGTGGACGCTCCGATTCCCGACCGGTCAATGTCGTTGACTTCGCCGTGACGCCAGCTTCCTGGATTGGTCAAGTTTGTTCGATTCCGAGAAGATTTCGATTCCGAGAAGATTTGATTTGCAGTCATCCGTTCGGGCCAGCCAGATCTACATAAATTTTAAGCCGTAAGTTTTCTACATCAAACCTTTAGATCCGCTGCGCATAGGTTTATGTTTGAATGTTTATCCATGATTTGTGCATATCGAGATCCTCATAGATCCCAACACCCTATTGGGTGGTTCTACAAGATCCCAGACCTGATTAGAGTCCATTGACCCTATTTCAGCATACATTGCAACATTCCATGATTCTGCATCTTTATCTTGGAGTGCCTCGTTGTAGGTTCTTGGGTCCGATTCTAGGTTTCCTGGAACTGAGCCCTTAGACTCTCAAGACCTATCCATTAGTCGGGTAATTGAGAAACCCTCCCATTATGACGAGGTACTGTCTGCACTGGTACACTCTCAGTGTGCCGTGTTGCAGTATTATGTGATGTATCTACTTGCGCACTCGGTGGGGAACTATCGACTTCACCTCTCAACTCCTCTAAGAATAGTCTACTCGCGGGCTTATGATTCATAATATAGTCTTCTTCCAAGAATCTAGTGTTCGTGCTAACGATCACCTTCTGATCCTCAGGACAATAAAATAATCCATCTTTCGTTCCCTTGGGATAGCCTACAAACACTCGTGCTTCCAAACATTTCTCCAACTTGCCAGCTTCCTGCACTAACACGTGTGCAGGACTACCCCATACTCGAAACTGTGAGAAACTGGGCTTGCGCCCTTTCCACATCTCATAAGGAGTAGTTTCTACCGACTTTGAAGGAACCATGTTCAGAATATACACAGCTGTTTCTAAAGTCAATCCCCAGAACGAATCTGGTAACTTTGAATAACTAATCATCGACCTAACCATTTCCATAAGAGTCCTATTTCTTCGTTTTGCAACCCCGTTTTGATGGGGCGTGCCGGGTGCAGTCAATTGGGATTGAATCCCAGCTTCTGATAAATATGTCCTGAACTCTCCAAAGAAGTATTCGCCACCTCGATCAGATCGAAGCGACTTGATACTTTTACCATGTAGCTTCTCCACAACTGCCCAATACTCCTTGAATTTTTCAAAGCATTCGGACTTGCAGTGCAACAGATAAATGTACCCAAATCTTGAGTAATCATCTATAAAAGAGACAAAGTACTCGAAACCTCCTCTAGCCTGGATCGACATAGGACCACATAAATCAGAATGAATCAATCCTAGCACTTATTGGCTCCTATACCCGTTTGCCGTAAACGGCCTCTTGGCCATCTTACCTTCTAGGCATTATTTGCAAGTTGGATAGTGCTCTTCCAATGGAACAGAGAAGTCTACTTGCCACTAACTTTTGAATCCTCCTTAGGTTGATGTGCCGAAGTCTAAGGTGCCATAGATATGCTTCATTCATACTCGAAGATTCCTTCCTCTTATTAGATTTAGTCGTGACATTATTCAATTCAGTTTGTTGCAGTGTGGGAGAGTTTGAGAACATATAAATTGCCAACTAATGAACCAGAACAAGTGAAACGCTTTCCATAACGAATAACAACCATGTCATCAAACATAAACGAAAATCCATCTGAAACAAGTTTAGAAACTGAAACAAGATTCTTTCTAAAACTAGGAACATAAAGGCATATCTCAAAACCAAAATACTACTATCAAAAGATAAAGTAACGTCTCCCACTGCAACAGCTGCCACTTTCGTAGCATCGCCCATGTAGACAGTGATCTCTCCCTACCTAAGCCGCCTGGTTTCCTGGAACCCCTGCAACGAAGTGCAAACACGATTAGTGGCTTTAGTATCTACTACACACCAGGTTCTGGTAGATACAAACGCTAAACATGTTTCTACGACATTAAGGAGAGAGTTAAATTTCTTGTGGAGAGGCCAGTCGACCTTCCAGTGTCCTGACTTGTTGCACTCGTGGCATTTACCTTTCGGCTTCTTTGCCACAGACTGAGGGGGCAGTCGCTGTACCACCGGGGCATCCTGCACCTTTGCCTTTCCTGCAAACTTCTTTCTCTTCCTGCCCTTGTGAGGCCTGGAAGGTCCAGCCTGCTCGGCAACCAGTGCGTGAGGCGCCTGAGTGAATAAGGCCTACGCCGACTGGAGCTCTGCTAACAGTTCTGGAAGAGCCATATGCATCTTGTGCATGTTGTAGTTCAACCGGAACTGATCAAAACTCTTCGGCAGAGATTGGAGCATGATATCAACCTTGGTTTCCCCGTCGATAAAACCTCCCATAACTTCAAGCTCATTGAGTAGCGCCATAACCTTGAGAGAATGCTCTCTTACGGGTGTGCCCTCTTGTAGCGCCCCATTTGTTCAGGATTATTTTGAGAATATTATTTATTTTATTTTATCCGAGATTATTTAATTCGTGCTCGTTTAGTATTATATTTGATTATGTGATAGTATTTGCCTAAATTCTTTAGTGTATTATTATTATTAAATCGAGTCGAATTATTTATCCATTTAACTGGATCATCGACGTCGAACATAATCGGGATTTTCAATCGAACCGCCCGAACCAATCGTTGGTTTATTTCTCATACGTGCTAGCATGACGTTTGAATTTCAAGAATTAATTGCTATCTTTTATCTCTTCATCATTAGCCATTAATTCAAATCAAGGCTTTGACCAATTAATTAAAAATTTATTTGGTCCCTTAATTACCCTCTCTCCCTTAATCTCTCTCCTCTCCCACGTTCAAGATCAAATTTTCTTTTCACTTTTATCTCTCACCATTCTCCTCATCTTCCCTCACCCTTCTCGCCGGACATCTCGCTCTCCTCGAGACGCCTGCCATCACCTCACGTGAGGCTCTCCACCATGTCCGTTCTCGCGCCGTAGCAGACCCGCCGCGAGCCACAGTGGAGCACGACGTTCAGTCCGCCGTCACGAACAAACCACGTAACTGTCTCTCCAACATTTAGAACCCGACGTTTCAGTTCTTCTCCGGTGTGTAGTTCCAAAGTTTACAGACGTGGTCCCACTACTCAATCACTTGCGCCATTCCAGCGAGCGCGCAGCAGCCTCGACGTGAGCCGCCGACATCGTACACGTGACCTGAGATCGCAACCGTCCTCATCCCTCACCGGCGGACCAGCAGAAGCCCGACGCTACCAACATATTCACCGACGGTACCTACAGCCGCCGCCTCCCGAGCACGTAGCCGCCGTTGTTCGTTCGGATCGCGACCATCTTCCCGTTGTGGTCCTCTTTTGGATCGTCCGATCATCTTAGAACCCTTGATCTCGTGGCCAGCCTTCCGTTTTCCCGAGCTGATCTGTTTGACGGTACCAAGCCACAACCACTAACCCTTTTTAGAGCATCTTATCGGGTATAACGTGGACCGAGGCCGAGCGTGAGCTGCCCGAGGTCCATTGTTTTATTTCCAAGTTCCATCCTAAGGGCTGAATCGCCTCTTCTTGCGTTGATACGGGACCTCGTGGTCGGGATACTTTATAATAGTTCGAGTTTTGAGTCGTGCTCGGAGGTCTTCGGCCTCGAAGGCTTCATGTCGGATATAGATCGAGAGAAAAGAAAGGAGTTTGTGGATTTCAAACCCTCTCGCCAAATGACGTTAGGACTTCAAGAAGTGTACGCTTTGTGGTACACCTTGCATAAATGAGAAGGCCCCATTATCGATCACGAAGACGGTGTAGACAAGCTTGTTCAAATCCTACCCCCACCGTGGAAGAGTGTGGTCGTAGGAATGCGCGATGAACACAGGAGGAAGAAACCAGTCGTTTTTCTGGATCACCCTCCCTTAAACATGTTTGAAGTGGTCACTCGCCTTGGCAGAAAATAGGAGCGTAAGGAGGTACATTGGAAACGGACTTCGAATCGTACCCCACCACTGAGAGCACCGTATCCAGCCCTAACCCCGTCTCCTCCTCAGCGGAGTACGGTAATGGGTGGGTTTCTTAGGTAATTGTTCGATTATATGCGCATTTTCGATTATATGCTTGGGTTGATATAGTTATATGTTGAGTTAAGGCTGTATATGGATATAAATGTAATAGATCCTTAGGGTTTAATGCAAAACCCTTACGATTTGTTACTAACTCGTGGTTGGCTCTTGGATTATGGAACATCGTTGTGTCTTGATCATAATGGAGTTGGCCTTGTGCATTTTGGACCTATACTTCGTGAGATGTGGATATTAGAAGTCGATGTCGTTTCTGAAATTTGTATAATGCATGACAAATCGTGTGGCTGTCTAATATACTGAATTGTCTATAAGTTGCTTCCCAGTTATTTGTTTATTTTATGTTAAATTTTCATGAATTTTAGAGATCATATGATAGGGTAAATGATTAGTTATTCAAATCATATTATATGCCAAAACTTATTTTCATTTTCATAATTTACATGTTTATTGTTTATACTTGATATTTTTTATGTGTTGTCTTTAACATGATGTAGAATTTGTTACATGGTTGATCTTGAATCGTTCATTTGCCAGTCAATAAATCCATGCTCATTTATGCCGAAAACTAGTATTATTTGTAAACTCTAAATGCTTCATTAGTAAGGCTGAAACTTGGTGAAATTTCTTTATTCATCGGGTTCTATCATGTGTCTCCATGCTTGATGTAGAGTCGAGTAGAATGTTCCATAACTCCACGAGAACTTTCCACGAGCCACTTAGTCGACGAGTCTCGACTAAGTTTGTGTGTTCGTTGGAATTAATTGTAATCGAGAGGCTATCTTGATTTCGTGTAGGTGTTTTGAGGTGTTGACCTCACCACTTACTCGAGCCTCGCTTTATGTTTATTGCTGTCTTCCAGGTGGGTGTTGATAAACCTTACCATGTATGTTAATTTCTATAAATGCTTGGCTTGATAATCAATGTATGCATGTGAACCGGTAGTCTATGAGGCCTAACTCTAGCCTTTAGAGAGCTTAGTCCGTGTGACGGTACGTCTGCGGTTGCTCCCGTCTTTTTTGTGGGGACTGCTTGTTTACTATCTTTTTTCGAGATTGATAGGTTAGGTGTGATCACATGAGTGTGGCTGTGTTTAGGGAGGGTAGACTAGTCGATTCACTTACATGCTGCGATTATGATTTTAAGTCTTTATATTGATTATACTGCATGGTATTTCCCACGGTGAGCAAGTGTTCGCTCATCCCCATTATTATATCTCTTTTCAGGTTGAGCTGTTGGCCGTGGCAAATAGGATGAGCGAGGCAGGGTCATTATGTGCTAATGAACTGTTTTACTTGCTTCTGCTTTTGTCTATTATCTATCTCTTGTTAGTATGATTAATCTTGTTTTTTTTTTTGGAAAATGAACCATGTTTGGTTTTGGGATTTGATTGTGTAATGACTATCAGAT